TCATGAAATGTCATAATTTGACAATACCTATCTGGCGTGATTTAGAACTGACTTTTTGTACAAATATGGATTCAGGAAGCGAAAATGAATTCAACTGCTCTCCACCATCAGAAGTTTCGAAAGCTGCCAATTCAAGTACACTCAGCCTTTTGCCCGAGGAATCTAAAAAAAGGTAAATGAAGTGGTTTGGCGAGAAGCAAAACTTGCAAATTCGTTTTCGGATAATGTACTGCTAGCCTATTTTGGCGAATTAGCAGCTAAAGACAAAGCATCCTCCTTGTGGTCACAGTGTATTCCATGCATATACTAAGAAGCACAATTTCAATGGAAAATTATGTGAATATTGACAAATATTTGAAATTACGAGCATTTCTAAAAAGGAAATCTGATAGATATATGTCGAAGGAAGCGAAGATATTCACTGCTGATGAACTCAACCAGTTCATCACTCAGTCATAGAAAAAGTATAGTATTCTACTTGCGTGTAATGGCTATTACTCATTCGAATGATTACGACGTTCGCCTGCGGCTCACGTCGCAAACTTCATTCTCATGAGTAATGGCCATCATTACACGCTCGTCGAATAATATACTATTTTACGTCAAAATGGATGAAAATTATGTGTAATGACCCTTTCATCCCCATAAAGTTTGTCAATATCCTTGTGGACATTTGCCATGTTGTTTGTTCAAGATATCGAATTGGTGGAACTGGGAATACGTTATTGGAACAGTAAATTCTGATCACTGTAATTGATTGAGTTATTTGATGCATGGAAACGGTCAATCAAGTGATTGTTTCACCGAGTCACTCATCTGTATTAGGCAATGTGGCAGTAGCACATTCAATATTCAGATGCATTACCTATCGAAAATCGAGTGGAACTTCAACACCTAAACTGTCCATATTCACTTCTCTTCATCTATGACATTCTGGGTCAATTTTCAACTCGCGTGAAATATGAATAGAGTAATAGATGTTTACGATACGATCGTGTGTATCGGATTTTTTTCAACTTTTGGGGATTACAAGTTCATAAAAATGCTTCCTTTGGCAAAGCTTTGCCGGTCTATAGATAAACGAGTTCTGGTTAAGAGTTGTTTGACATATCTCAAGGTTAACAACGAAACGATGTGGTGACTGGGCTTGTTGATTTTTTTCTACTATCGCTAGAGATGGAATGATCGCAGAGATTTATGAAGAACATTGCCCGTGGAAGTTCAGTGAGTGTGGCATCATCCACCATATGATATGGGAAATTTCTCAAACAATATGGTACAATATTTGACCTATATATACTTCTTAAAATGGTAATCAATTAATCAATATGTAACAAGCAAGCGTTGCGAGGGTTGGGCATACTACATGGTCGTGAATCTATCGTGTTCTTGATTGTCACTTCTTCGGCGAACTGTCAAGTTTGACGTGTTTAGTTCAATTTGAACAAAATATTCATCGGAATAAATGGTTCTGGATTTAAGAAGATTCAGCCAATATCGCATTCTGATATGTTCAACCACCATAAACTCACATTCAACAGAATTTTAGATAGGCATATCTCAGCATATCCCGAATGCTATCCACTATACAATGTATTGTTTTTTTTTTCAAACAAAGAATGTAGTTATGAAAAGAAATAAAATACGAAAATGATGCAGATAATAATCATCACAATATTTTTGATGAAAATTCAGAAGACTGGATCCATGCAATCAAACGGGACGACTGCTCTATAAGCAGTATTTGCTTCTTTTGCAGAAGTGGCAGGAGGAATTTTACTAAGAAATGACAAAATTTGATAATGAAAACTATGTGAGCTTACTATTCACCTGAAAAATCATATTCCTTCGTCTCTCGCTGCAGTTTTTGTGTATTGTACAACAGCACAATGATAAGGTATGGTTGAATTGATGAATAACGCAAAAAACACAATTAGTATGCCAAAATATCGTGAGAAACTAATTCAATCCATTGATTCCTTTGTAAACAAATAAAAACGTGAGGTTGTGTTTCAATTTTCAATGTTCCAGTAAGGAAAGTCAGGTTGTGTTTCAATATTTGACCTCCAGGGTCGGTCATCGTACTTGCGACCTATGAAGGGAAGGAAAAAATTGCATTTCATCTCTTATAATACATATTTGTGGCTCATGTTATTCGTTAATCTATTCAAAAACTTGACGCGTGTGTCTACAATCTTTGAAGAGCGTGAAATATGATGTTTGAGGCACAACAACCTCCATTTATCTAAACCAATCAGCTCCGCATATCCCCCAAAGAAACGTAGCTGGGGTGTAGCCCATCACGAAGGAGTCAGCCACCTCAGGAGATAGGGAAAATTTGACTCACCTCCGCGGTACAAAGGTACTGTGACGTAAGGTGGAGGCCCCAAGCTTCTCCGTGATAATATCTCAACTATGGCCTATCGAATTGTGAAAAGTTGAGAACGAAAACAACTCATCTAGAGATTCAATTCAAATACCACAAACGTCCATTCAGATATAACTCCCGTTAGAGAACGGTTTTCCACCAGACTGCATCCAGATAGATGGCAGCGTAAAAATAATCCTGAGCCAGAGCCAGATGGAGGCGCTAAGCTGAACATCATAAGCTCCTACGTGACCATATCTCAACTATGATCTATTAAATTTTGATAGGTGAGAACTAAAACAACTCATCTGGAGATTCAATTCAAATACCATAGACGTCCATTCAGATATAACTCCCGTAACAGAACGGTTTTCCACCAGACTGCATCCAGATAGATGGCAGCGTAAAAATACTCCTGAGCCAGAGCCAGATGGAGGCGCTAAGCTGAACATCATAAGCTCCTACGTGACCATATCTCAACTATGATCTATTGAATTTTGATAGGTGAGAACTAAAACAACTCGTCTAGAGATTCAATTCGAATACCATGGACGTCCATTCAGATATAACTCCCGTAACAGAACGGTTTTCCACCAGACTGCATCCAGATAGATGGCAGCGTAAAAATACTCCTGAGCCAGAGCCAGATGGAGGCGCTAAGCTGAACATCATAAGCTCCTACGTGACCATATCTCAACTATGATCTATTAAATTTTGATAGGTGAGAACTAAAACAACTCATCTGGAGATTCAATTCAAATACCATAGACGTCCATTCAGATATAACTCCCGTAACAGAACGGTTTTCCACTAGACTGCATCCAGATAGATGGCAGCGTAGAAAGACTCGTGAGCCAGAGCCAGATGGGGGCGCTAAGCTGAACATCATAAGCTCCAACGTGACCATATCTCAACTATGACCTATTGAATTTTGATAGGTGAGAACTAAAACAACTCATCTAGAGATTCAATTCAAATACCACAGACATCACTCCCGTTACAGAACGGCTCATCTTTTTTTTTTTTATCGATTGGAGCGCACGAAAGGGAATCCCTATAATGTTCAAGGAACATCGTGCGTTCCTAGGGAGGATAGGGACAGGATTTGATTGATTGATTGATATGCTTTATTGTCCAAAGAGTATATCTTATTGACAAAGTTACAATTTCCTAAAACTACAAATATATAATATCTTTGTATTTTTTTAAACACAGTGTCACACAATCCATATACACAATAAAAATTATAATTATTATCACAGTGAAGAAAATAAAATAAAAGATACATCATCAATATCACAGATTAAAAACATTCTCCAAAAAATTCTTGCAATACGGTCTTTCACTGAGGAATTCTTTCACGGCCTTTCTGAAATGAGCATTATCCGTGGTTTTCAGATAATTTGGTAGGTGATTATACATTTTTAGACCATTGTATATGACTGAGTCCTTAACGAGGGTTGAGGTGAGTATAGGCAGTTTGAGGTGATTTGTTTGGCGGGTAATATAATGAGAATTTGAACTCGAAAATGTCTTTTTATGTTTATTGATAAGGCAAACCGTTTCTAATATGAAAATGGCATAAAGCGTCAGGATTTTATCTTTAATGAATAAAGGTTTGCAAGAGACTCGTGGTTTCACCTTATTTGAGTATCTTATCGCTCTCTTTTGTAAAATAAAAACTGGCTTCAAATGAGTATCAGCACAAACTCCCCAGAAAGGTATTCCATATCTCAAGTGTGATTCTATCAATGAAAAATATACAGTTTTTGCTGCAGAAGATCCTAGTTCACTAGAGGTTATCCTAACAGCATAACAACCGGAAGAGGTAGGTATTGGATTTTTTTCGAACTTTTGGAGATTATATGTTGTTGGGAATACTTCCACAGGCAATGAATTCCAGAGCCTAGCCGTTCTATGGATGAAGGAGTCTTGATAAAGTGCTGTTCGACATCTTTCGAGGTTGACAACGAAAGGATGTGCTGACTGGGCTTGTCTAGTTCGTCTGATTGGTATTGCTAGTGAAGGGATGATAGCAGAAATTTCCGAAGAACATTTCCCGTGGAAGTATCGATAGAAAAGTGAAAGGTCGCCGACCTTTCTACGGTGTTCCAATGATGTCAAAGAGTGAGTGAGTGTGGCGTCACCCACCAGGCGAATGGCTCTTCTCTGGATGGAATCTAAGAGCATCAGCGTATGTTTCGGTGCTGAACCCCATATGTGGGAACAGTATTCTAGAACAGGCCGTATCTGCGCTTTGTTGATCATGAGAAGCTGTTGAGGTGTAAAGTAGCTTTTCGCACGGAACAAGAATCCGAGTTTTTGTGAAGCAGCTTTCGCGATGGATCTGACATGATTATCCCATGAAAGAGTGTTGCTGATGGAAATACCGAGCATAGATATGGTGGGCTTGGTGGGGATGGTGGAGCCAGACATTACAATATCGGGCATACTGACTGCCTTTCTAGAGAAAATGCAGGCTTGAGTTTTGGTGGCGTTGAATTCAACTAGGTTGTTTGTCCCCCAGGCTGTGATTGCAGCAAGATCTTCATTGACAGCATTGACCATTGATCTAGAGATTCAATTCAAATACCACAGACATCACTCCCGTTACAGAACGGTTTTCCACCAGACTGCATCCAGATAGATGGCAGCGTAAAAATCCTCCCGAACCAGACTCCAGAGCCAGATGGGGGCGCAAAGCGGAGCATCAGTCAAAGGAGGGGGTGTTGATCCGCAAATACATACCGGAGAGTAGTGAGCTAATTGCTAATTGCTATTTGAGACGGTTGCCGAGCGACAGTGATTTAGCTGTTCCCTCTCCGGGCCTCCCTGCCATAATCTTTCCCGAATACAGTCGGCCGTGAAATATATAGCTCTTGCGAAATGCCGGAAAATCTACGCAGCGGAAGGGTATTTGAAGATAGCGGTGTGGAGAGTAGATTTCTTTCCATGTCCTGGAAACGAGAAAAAAATTAGAGAGTCGAGCTATGTGCCAGAAAAAATCGAAAATTGCCTTGCTACCTGACCATGAAACAATATGAAATGGTTTCCATAAATCATCGGAGCATCTGAATAAATGAAGTATGTTTCCCATTTATCGCTTTTTTTATCTCTTGAGGCGAACGAATGAAAATCCCTTTGATGTTCGGAGAACATAACGCGTACCTATAAGGATGATGACAAGAGGAGGTTGGTATTGGATTTTGTAGACTTTTGGAGCTCATAAGTTCTTGAAAATACTTCATTTGGCAAATATTTCCAATGCTTTGCCGTTCTATGGACAAACGAGTTCTAGTAAGGAGTTGTTCGATATGTCTCAAGATTGACGACGTAGGGATGTGCTGACTGGGCTTGTCGAGTTCGTCTGACTGGTATTGCTACGAAAAGAAAGATAGTAGATACTTCTGGGAAACATTTCCTGTGGAAGTTCCTATAGAAAGGTGGAAGGCGAATGGCTCTTCTCTGGATGGAAGCTTAGAGCATCTGCTTATGTTTGGGTACTGAACCCTATATATGGGAATAGTGATCTATAAGTTTCAGTATCTGTACTTTGAAGACCATAAAAACCTGTTGAGGTATAAAGTAGATTCTAGCACTAAATGAAATATGGTTTTTGTGAAGCAGCTTTCGCGATGATGGATCTGACATGATTTTGCCATGAAAGAGGATATTGCTGATGGAAATAGCAAGTATAGATATAGTGAACTTTGTGGAGAAGGTGGTACCAGACATTGATATATCAGGCATGCTGAGTTGCGCCTTTCTATAAAAAAATTACAGGCTTGAGTTTTGGTGATGTTCAATTCAACAGGGTTGTTGGTTGCCTAGGCTGTTATTCTAGCAAGATCCTCATTGACAGATTCAATGCTGAATGAATGAAAAATTGCTCGAGGAAACATAACGTCATTCTGGGACACCTTCTATATATTCGTGAAGAGCAGAAACATTTCCTCCACTTAAGTTGGAAATATACTAGGTGTTCCGTTTTGAAAAAATGAGTTGCACTCTTTTTATTCATTATGCGATTCACACAACTTGAGTGCCAGAAGATAGTATACAGATGAAATACTACAATTTTCGTATTCGAAGTTCTTCCCCACCTTGTATTGTTGAAGATGTAGGTAGGGGTAAATCAATTAATCGAAAATATCTTCTACCTTTAACTGGATGCATTTCAAAGAATTGATCTGTGTAATCTCTTATTACGCATGGATAAAAGAAGAAAGACCCCCTATAGAACGGATAAAATAGCAATCGTCATGGAGATAGGCTATAGAGAAAGAGACCAATTATCATTTCCAAACCCTCACATGCTATTTCAGAGAGATCATCTGACTTCAAAGCAAGTTCTCTGATAGGTAGTGTTTCCGCCGAACATCGTCCTATAGCTGAAAACAATGTTCTTCTTTTGATCTTCTACGTGGTATCGTGACATATCTATCAGTTATGTAGGTAGTTTACTAAAATATTTTTGATTTTGTAGCTGAAAATCAGAATAACAGTTTCGTTATCTCTGAATTATTTATAAAATATTCGTAGTAATAACGGTTTGAAAGGAGGTAGTTTATCTATAATTTAAGAAGTTCAGCTCATTCTCAACTTCTACTGATAAACACTGTTCTGCTATTATCGCAGGAAAGTTCGTACTTTCAATGAAATATCTGGAACTATAAGTTAACTGAAAAGTCGGTAGCTGCACTAAAAGAATCCACAGAAAGACAAGAAGAACTTGCAAAGTCAACTGAAGAAAAATCTTTACAGGGTGTATAATACATAAACATCCTCTATTGAGAACATTTTTATAATGGTATCGATACGCAGTTGACTTCATACACCAAGAAAAACATAATCAACTATTATTGAAACTTATATTATATGATAATTAGAACAAACACCTGTATTTGGGGCTACTCTCACTTTAATTGCCACTATAGTATATTTCAAAGGAATTAATAGCCAATAAGAACACCGTTCATTTCAATAAACAATTCGCAATAAAGGTGGAAATTAAAATGACCCAGATATCACTATTCATAACCTCAATAACATACAGGTTAACATTTTGAAAACTTCCCACTCTCAATATCTTCCTTCCAGTGAAAAGTGTTGTTCCACAGTTATGTAATGTTTTTGAAATGATGGACTTCATCACAGTGAAATGGGAAATATACTGATGGCGCCAATTCATATCAGAAATCTTTTGAAGATTTCTGATATGGATAGTTTCGCATAAGAGCTGATTTATATTGCTCTCTGTGCGGAGATCATGATTCAATGGTCAGAATTGGAAAATTGAAGATGGCGGACACAACATGGCGAACGAGTTTTTCAATAGTGATTCGATTCTAATCAAAATTGGTATCTGGGGATAACCGGGGTCGAAGATTATAATTTTTGTTTGTCAAAATTGAGAATTCGAGATGGCGGATCCAATATGATGGACGAGTTTTGACATTATGATCCGATTCCTTTCATAATTGGTGTCTGGGAATTTCCGGTGTTGAAAATTATGATTCATCCGTCGAAATTCAATACGGCGGATCCAATATGATCTGATTCTATCAAACATTTTCATCTGAAGGTTTTGGAGTCGGAGATTATTACTTACAGATAATATAAGGAACATAAACTACTATTTATTTCACTAAGATTTCCATGATAGACTGATTCGAACAGTATCATATCCATGCTTTGGTGTATATCATCTATATCGTATATTATAGAGATATAAATACATATAATAATTGTTCAGCACAATCCGTTCAAAATCTTTCAGTTATGAGGTATATTTCATAGGGACTTCTAGTAGATACATTCGATATTGAGAATCTAATCGACGTAGTGGAGCCTCCACTCATTCCTTCCAATGCATGTGAAATTTATCAGCCTTCCTCAGTTAGCGTTCGAATGACAGTCTGCAATGAAATCTTCTGCATCCATCTGACTCCGATTCCCATTGCCAATTATTTTCCTTCTGACACTGATGGCTGATGGACCTCAGAATGAGAATCTCCTGGACTCGACAAGCTCCGATAAAATATGGTACGAGCGAGTGAAGGGTTGCTACAAACAACTTGTCCATTTCCTTCGATATAATTGGATATACTACGAAGACGGATGTCGGCATATCAGGCTGAAATTTGGGCGATCGAATTAAGATCTCAATCTGTCTTGGTACTCCTCATAAAACAAAGCGAGAATCTTCAATGCGGAAGTGTCGAACACAAAATAATACTTCTGCAGAGAAATAAAAAAGAATAATATTTTTGTGTTTCAATTCCGTTGCCCAGAAAAACTGCTGGCATAGTTACTTTGTCTCAGCCGGAACAGCCTCACCGACCATATTATATTGATCATAGGAAGACAATTCAACAGGAATCAAGGGAATATCTGAATGTGATCATATTCCTCTCAGTACCAAAGTTATCATACGTCTTGCTAGTGATCAAACAACAGTATCACATATAAATTATGATGAATTATTGCATTTATAAATTATTATATTGATATGAATCAAAAAGGGCATCCTATCAGGCAGATTTTTCTATTACAACATATTTCCAAATCTCAGAGGCTCCTTACAACGGCACTACACAATTTATTGCAGAAACTTCTCCCTTTGCCTAGGGCTTCGCGAGACCAAGACCAAGACTGATCAGTGTCAAAAAATAAATGAACTATTCAATTCAAATATCCAACTATTCATATTATGCATATGTGCATTGTGCGTATAAAGTAAGCGCAATTTAGTTGTCCACTTACCATATGAATATAATGTTTGAGGAACCTCAAATGAACAAAATGAGACCCAAACAGCAAACAGGCCGACGCTTGACAGTCCAGTCAAAAGGGTCGAAACTGACAACAACGCATTATCAAAATATTTCAAAAAATGTCTTCACTTCACTTCGAACCATATAACTTTCGTATTAAATTTGTTTCTATCTATAATAGAAGGAGGTATGGACCACTATGACCTCACAAAATACACCTAATTTGTTGTGAACTTCAAAACTGCAATACTGAATTTGAAAAACGTATTTCGGATTTTGAGTGAACAAAAATTTGAAACCTACCATATGACAAATAAATAACTGAAATAAAATGCCATTACATTTTCCATCAGATTTTTCTTAACATTGAGTAGATTCAAGTTCATTATCTTTCTTTCAGGGCCTCGGCCAAGTCTTGGTCTTGGAAAGACTTATTAAGTCTTGGTTTTGGTCTTGGTCTTGTATCAAGACCAAGACATGACCAAGACTGGACTTCTTGCTTCTAGATCTAGTTATTATTTCGGCTTTGAACCATCATTATTGATTTGGTAATGTGGTGAATTTTATGTCCCAAAATCATTCATCTACTAAAGAAACTAGATTCAGTAGCTCAGGGATCGAGGTTGGCAGTACTAAAAGATTTGAAAGATTTTCATTATTTCATCAATGAGGGATAAGAATTTCACTCTCACCAGTTGGCTCTACTAAAACGTGAGGTCAGTGTCAAAGTCGAAAATCCCAAAAATTTTGCCGAATAGCTCTATAGACTATGGCCTGTTTTATCGAAATTATTCGAAAAACATCATGTTGAATATTTGAACAAATAGAAAACCTCAAGTCATTGAGAGACTTGGGCCGACTTAATCTTGAACTTCACGACCAATACTTACATTGACGAAGAAGAAGATATCGTAGGAAAATGTCAAATGTCCCGAAAATAAAAAGTATATTCATTAGTTCCAACCCTGACCTTACGTTTCGTTTTGGTGGACAATGAATAATGCTAGCATTCATTGGTCTTCAGATATACATGATAGTATGCTCGCTCATCAACAAGATACCACCCGATAAGCCAAAGTGAACAGAATTCA